GTTCTACTGGATCGGTGGGCGACTGTGCAACCCAAGCTCGCATACTATGCCTGACGCTCGCCAAGGAAAACCGACAAAGGCGAGTTACATGCATTTCTGAAAGACAGTGTTCACGTAATTTCATGTAAATCAACAAACTACTAGATCACGTTGCATCGGTTTTCCTTTTTGATTTACGGCTGGAAAATTGCTGTGAAGCTCCATTTCGACTGCGTAATCATATTAATAACTGACCACTAGTATGGATCACAACTTCATTGGAAAATAATCGTGTATGTGTCAAATGCTGCAATGGAAAACAGGAGGGTTGGAATTAGTGCCTTGGAGAACCCAAAGAAAAACACGATGGTTACGGTAGTCCCCGCCAAGTGTAATTGCACCGCACAGAAATTGTCATCGCCGTCGGTCGCTAAAAATCTGAACACCTTGAATTTCCTTGCCTCAGATTCCTTTCTACCCGTCCAGAGTGTATCCGACTTGCTCTCCTTGAAGACAGTCCAGTATACTGCTGTTTTTCTCCCTAACGCTACTAAGTGGGCGAAAACATGTTGCAAACACGGCCTTTTTAACAGTTGTTTTACCAGTCGACATTTTCGGTTTTCAGCTGGGCGTCCCACGACTGAACTTGTATTCAATGTGCAATTTATGATTTTCAGGCCGCAATGTCTGAAACACCGAAGGCTGCTGCAAAGGGTGATACGGGAGGAGCACCCGAGAAGATGGAAGTAGAGGAGGTACGATTTTACATCCCTCATCATTCATTCTGTTCAGTTTGACGTTATATTGCAAGTTAGAAAGCAGCTATTGTCTAAACTCTACCCGCAAATAGAGCAAAGTTTCCCCGAGAAAGACGGTGATTCCGTATGAATTGGTCTGACATAGATGTCTGTTGATGCCGCGCTCACTTTGCGAAACTGGAGAATAGTCGCAGAATGGGAAAAACCCCGAAAAGGAATCTACACTTAGGCCGCGTTCATACGCAGCGCCCCTGACCTCCCCGGAATTTTTAGAATAGGCAAAGTATACGTATAGTATACGTAGAGGCCACGGAGGCGCTATGTATGAACGCGGCCTTACTGGTGGAAGAATCGAGCAATCAGCGATTCACCGATTCTACAGATTCAAACCTATCTAACTTTTCTAGCGCATTCTGGTCCATACGCCATCCTCTGCGTTTCATGTATGCTTGTGAATTTTTCTAGCTTTCTCCTTTCGATACCGTTTGATAGGAAATCCTGGTACAAGATTATCAACAAACAATTACTTTTTGACCATCTCGCACGTTAGCAGGCCTTGGACGAAGAGATTCTTCGTATGGCCCCAGAAGACCTGAAGAGCCGAACCCATCTTTTGGATAACGAAATTCGAATTATGAGGAGTGAAGTTCAACGAATCAACCATTCTGTTTCGATGCTGAAAGAACGTATAAAGGACAACAATGAAAGAATTAAGGTGGATTTTCTAGATCGTCCGTCACAATTTCTTTGCTAATAATGCAATTGTTCAGGTTAACAAAACACTTCCTTATCTTGTTTCAAACGTTGTTGAGCTATTAGACTTGGAAGACAATCAAGAGGAAGAAGGTTCCTTTTTTGATATCTTTACTAGTCTTGCCTGAAAAAATAAGATGTTATATGAATACCACTCTGTTTCTTTAATGGATGGGAATGTTTTGTATTCACTATTTAGGTGCGAACGTTGACTTGGACGCTCATAAAACAAAGTGTGCTGTTATAAAAACATCAACAAGAGCTACATACTTTCTCCCTGTTGTCGGATTGGTCGAGCCTTCTGAGCTGAAGCCTGGAGATCTCGTTGGAGTAAATAAAGTAAGTATCATAGAGTAAACATTCTCCAGTCTTCAGTGCCACTGATACTTGCAGGATTTCATACCTTATCCCTGTGAGATCTTCCAGCTGAATCATGACTCTCGTTGTGAAGCAAGAGTTGGTTACGATACCCTTTGCTGACCTTACTTGCTGGCTGTGTTTAGAAAATTTCCAACATTGACGGTGTTGGAAAGAACCGTACATGATAGCATTGCAGCTTTTCGATTTTGATTCGAATTTCTGTTGACCCTGTTTGTCGCATTGATCGCCTGCCCAATTGAGTAGATCAGTCGACTAGAGAGGAAAAGCCGCTGAAAAAAGTACTGCCTATAAAATTTAGAAAAAGTGTCTTCTGCATAAGTCTTCATCCGACACACCACTTCGCCCATGTTCGTGCTGCCCGGCAGCCCATGCTAGCTCTAACCTTTGCTGAATCGCTATCTCTTACTCCTCGCTGCGGTTGTCAAGCGACAACCGTTCCCAGTTCGAGTGAGCCTAGCGTTGGGCATTGCGTTCAGAGTTCAAGTAATGGTGATTCTCCATCCGAGGAAACAATGCCCCTCACAGACTACACGAGCCGACGACGTACAAATGGACCATGAGCCCCCCTCCTTTTCCCCGCCCACCTTACACTCCAGATCTCGTGTCCTCCGACTACCAGCTGTTCTCAGATCTCCAGCGTCATTTGAATGGAAAAGTTTTTTGAAACACATTATGACACCGAAAGACAACTAGACGCAAGGTCAGCCATCCGCGTTTCAGAGGACTAGCATCCATGATTTCCCTGTACGCTGGCGGAAGACAGTAGATAGTAGTGAGAGCTTTATTCTAATAATTCACTGTTTTTGTTCTGATACAGTAAAAATCCCGTCTCAAATTCATAATTGCCTTCTTTCCAAGCTAACGTAATCGAAAAATCCCTTGCATTTTGCTTCTTGCATTTTGCTTTCTCATGACCTGGGTCTTCCATATTCCAAATGAATTGTAAGAATGTATTTACTGGTGAAATAAATAGAATAAAAATAAATAAACAAATTGGACTTTAGTACAACGCCATGCACCTCTGACCTCAGAGCTCGTGCGCTTTACGATCACTGAGGTGTGTTACGATAACTCTCAGCCAGTGCACTGTCTTCGGTTATTAAGAACGGCACGAATTTAAAATTATATAATGAAGCAATGCCGCAGATAAACATCCTCGTTCTCTAGGTTTGCATGGTTGCTTTAGTTTCACGGCAAGCCGTCTGCCTTTCTCTTGCCAGTGAGTGGGTGCTGGGCAAATGGTGTACAGAGTGTTCTTTTTCGACTTTCCTAGCAGCGTGGCATATGATGGAGCATATTATGAAAGAAAGATCATAAATTTAAGAGATTTCATTGGAAATGTCTTTGCGGACAAGTTCAAAAAGTGTGTGCTCAGTTGATTTGAGGCGTGGCAAGGGAGGCTCTCATTCTCGAGTTGGCTTGTCCCTCTAATCCCTGTTTTCCTCCCAAGCACTGACGCGGGTTGAGACACGGAAAGCAATCAGCGAACTGGCTTTTTTCATATCTCTACTTGTAGAAAAGTGTGAAGTCGAAATGCTGCCCACAGCTTTCCACTAGTCCTATGTGTTGAAGAGCATGTTTTCGAGCACCATATTCGCCACTCGTGGCTTCTTACATCTGTACCAGAATCATCTTCCATTGGTTCTTGTCCATAATTTATGAACGCTGTGTTCCCTTGTTTCATTGTTCTGAGTGTTTTTTTTTTGTTGCTTGCTTTGAGGTGCAGAATCAGCATTCGATTCACTGCAGGTTGATGAGCGACCATCTGAGCAGTATTCTGATATTGGAGGTTGTGATAAACAGATTCAAGAACTCATTGAAGCGGTGGTCCTGCCGATGACTCATAAAGACCGATTTGTCAACCTTGGAATTCATCCACCGAAAGGAGTGCTGTTGTATGGTCCTCCCGGTATGTTTCAAGTTACATTCAAGCATATCTGCAGCTGCCTCATAGCTCGAAACCAGAGAATCATTTTGGCTGTTGTGGAAACAATAAACTCGATAAAGTTCATGAAGCTTCACATCGTAAATATTTTCCGTTCAGGTACTGGTAAAACCATGATGGCTCGAGCTGTCGCAGCTCAAACGAAGTCAACGTTTTTGAAGCTCGCCGGGCCACAGCTGGTGCAAGATGTTCATTGGAGACGGAGCAAAACTTGTCCGTGACGCATTTGCCCTGGCCAAAGAGAAAGCTCCGCTATTATTTTCATTGACGAATTGGATGCTATTGGTCAGTTATTTGTGTCTACGATTCAGAACAATTAAAACAGCCTCCATCTCTGATGTTTTCCATTGCGTGCATTTTTATAGGCACGAAGCGTTTCGATTCCGAGAAAGCTGGAGATCGAGAAGTTCAGCGTACAATGTTGGAGTTGCTCAACCAACTCGACGGATTCCAGCCGAACGATGAGATCAAGGTATCAGTTCTAGCAATTTTTTTCTTAGATTTTTGTAACAAATACGAGTGATGCATTCGGAACTTTCTATAGGTGATTGCCGCCACGAACAGAATCGATGTCCTCGATCCCGCACTGCTGCGATCTGGCCGACTTGACAGGAAAATTGAGTTGCCACATCCTAATGAGGACGCTCGGGCACGTATTATGCAAATTCATTCAAGGAAAATGAATGTGAAGTGAGTGCTGTATTTACATTTTTAATGGGTCTATTTATTAATTTATTTATTCAACATGTTGACGACTGCGTGACTCATATGTGAAAAACGCAATTGGAGTAGTGTGTATAGATTTTTGGGCTCGGTAAACAGCATATTATCACTAATATTATCGTTTCTCAGTATGGCCGCATTCTTACATGACAACTTCGAAGAAATGACGAAACCACGGACAGAAGAAAGTATATGTATCGATATGAAAAACCGCAAAATCGGGAGAAATGCAGAAATGGCGGGCAATGATTTGATAGGAATTGATCGCTCAGACCCGCCACTGGTAGGAACGCCAACCCATTGCATTTTCGGCGTGTCTGCAAATACCACATTTTTGCATTTCTCCCAATTCCGCGTTTCTTCAAATCGATGCGTACACTTTCTTCCAATCTGCAGTTTCGCCATTTCTTCAAACTCGTCATGCATGAACGCGGCCTAATTGATAAAAATAGTCAAAAGTTGTGGAGGTGTACGGCAGTGTGGCAGTCCGCATTGTGTAAATTTTATTCTTTCTCTTTTTTTGTATTTTTCAAAATAGGTTCTAAGAAACTTCGAAAAGTCCGGATTTGTTGGTAATGTTATGGAGTAAAGAACACATAAGTTGAGCCTTATTTCGACGTCTTTCGAATGTCCTTTATCTTCTGCTATTCCTTATTTACTATTATTTATTCGTTTCTGCGTTGTCTTTTGATACGGAATACATCTGTACGACCATTAATTGTGGCGGAACTGAACTTCTGGTCTCAAAAAGGGAAAGTGGGAGTTGCCATAGATATGATTTGTTGTGTGAATAAGGCTGCGTTCATACCGTGCGACGTCGTCGTCAACGTCGACGTAACCGACGAAAGCGACGTAACCTGCGTTTTCTGCGACTAGTTCGTGAAGATTATATACGTATCGATCCGACGAAAGCTGCGTAAGTTGCGTAACCGTCGAATCGATACGTATCTATTCTTCGCGAAGTAGTCGTCGGTTACGCAGCTTACGCAGCTTACGCAACTTACGCAGCTTTCGTCGGTTTCGTCGAATCGATAGGTATCTAATCTTCGTGAAGTAGTCGTCGGTTACGCAACTTACGCAGCTTTCGTCGGATCGATACGTATATAATCTTCACGAACTAGTCGCAGAAAACGCAGGTTACGTCGACGTTGACGACGACGTCGCACGGTATGAACGCAGCCTAAGGTCTTCCCATTGCTACGCATTTATTCGTAGTTTGATGAAACTTTGAGCTCTGAACACGCAGATATTCTTTCATGTTTCCTCTTTCATGTCTCTTCTGCATTTGCCTTTATCTAAATGGACTATTTCTGTGACTTTAGGAATGAGGTCCGAACTATGGGGGAAGGGATGGGGAGAGACCAAAATGCCATTTCTCATGAATGGGTGGAATAGTTCTGGTGTTGAAGAGAACACGGCTGGAAAATGCGCTAGGAGAATGGTGCGCAGAACAATATTCTACAAATGTTTAGAGATTCGCAATAGGTGAAAGTCAAAAAATTCCGATTGAGGCGGCGTGGCAATATCGCAGATCAGAAATATAGTATGGGTCCCGAAAAGAATCAAAGCAGAGGATCTTGCCCGCACACTGACTTAGTTCACGCCCGTTCACCTGGCAGACTGAACTTGAGAAAGGAGCGGTTTTTCTTTTTTTTCGACATACGAAGGACTACATCATACCGTTCGTATCAGTCGTTTTCTGCCAGCCGTTTCACCCTTCTTTAGCAGCTGGTGGTGAGCGGGTTGGCGACTTGCTGAACGAGGCCGCTCTGCCGCACTCGATGATCAGCAGCGAACAAGATTGTCGTACGTTCACATTCGCATCAAAGCCCCACTACCTGCGATTTGTGATGCTGGGGAGTATTTGAGGCGCGTGTGATTCCATTGCAATAGAATTCGAGAAGCTTGAAGACCTGCATACCGTGCCTTTACCTCGCGCTTCTGTCTAGTAAAAGTGGTACGCTCGGTGTAAGTGCTGACCTGGTTAACGAATACGCGGAGGCATTCCAGTAACACTGTAATGTGAAGTGTCTTTAATTGCAGAACTCATAGTCTTCCTTGAAACCGGACTCCTGTTGTTGACTCAGCATCCTTGTAACGTCAGTGGGGTAGCCCCGGTGATCGTGTTGCATAAAAAGCGCCGCACGAACTCGTGTTCCTTCGACTTTGACGTCAGCACTGTTTGCGAAAGAATTTTTGCTTCTTTATTACGACACTGTAAGCGTGATACTGGAAGTAGACTTCCCTTCCCTATCCCGAAGCAAAGCAGCCAGCGTTGTAGGTGTGAATGAGTGACGTCAATATGGCATTTCACGTTCACCCATTCTCATTGTAAATCTCATTGTATAGTTATATTAAATTTCAAAGAAGGTCTGATCAATGCCCAGTTGGAAGTAAGTATAAGTTTATTACGTGTGCATAAGGCATACGTGAGAAAAATGGTTAGAACACATTACATATACAAGTTCCAATATTGATAAGTTAGTTACAATTTTTCGAAAACAGTAATTAACCAGCAAAACACCAACTTATCGACCAGTCTCAAGAGAGCTAGACCCAGCATACCTTAAAGGCAGTTGGCACGATGATTGGGTGCTCGGCCTAAAATGCTAGTAGGGCGCTATATAGTGGGAAATGGCGAAAGAACGGAGTGAAACGGTCAAAATCCTGCGAAAAAAGAGCCTCCGTTCTCACTGTGTTAGTAATCAATTTTGGACGAGTTTCCCGAAGGCATCTTACCAATAACCGCTACCGAAGGTACGGCTGCATATGTGTACTCATATATCCATGCAGCATCACGACCGCTTCATACCAATGCCTTCGCTTCATAATTTGCTTAGCAAATGAATCAATTAGAGCGTCTGGAACAGTCGTCCATTTGTGGGCGGGCGGGCAAGGGGGCGTTTGGGACAAGTTGTGGCTTGATAGCGCCCTTATAAGGGCACCTTCCCTGGAAAAGGCATTATGCAGCGCCTGCTCAGGGTCGCGGAATTCCGTCCTGCCAGGCGTATTAGTCCTGCTCGTCTTGGAGGATTTATCGTGCCAACTGCCTTTAACAACCTTTTGGAAATACGGTTAAACTGAGCGTGTGACAAAGTGGCAGGTATGGCTTTTGTTTTCAAATACGCGCTGCCTGCCCAGAAGTTCGTGATAATTGTTTAGCTGTGAAAAAGGTAACCACGTTTTTCAAAGCGGAATTCCATTATGTTGAAACAATTGCTAGACAAGCTACTCTAGACGACTAGACATCTAATCCTTCGTTTTTACAGCAAAGATGTGAACTTTGAAGAGTTGGCCCGTTGTACTGATGACTTCAATGGTGCTCAGTGTAAAGCTGTTTGCGTTGAAGCGGTAATTTTTTGTCTCTTTAGCAATTGCCGCTCCTCATTGATCTCAACCTCTCAGTGGAGCTCTATTAACGTTTATAGGGTATGATTGCTTTGCGACGTGACGCAACGGAAGTTGTTCATGAAGATTTCATGGATGCAATCTTGGAAGTACAGGCAAAAAAGAAAGCCAGTCTTAATTATTACGCGTGATTTATAATTACCGTTGTTCATATGACTCACCATAGTGTTTTTTTCCTTTTGTCATTTGCGTCATTTGCAAACCTGAACGTGTTTCGGTCGGCTGTCGAAAGTAGTACAGTTACTTGTATTTACTTTCCACGCTTTTCAATCTAGTGCTGAGTCTCTGATCGATCTTTTCATTTGTATGAGTTCGCACGAACTGGGTACTTATCGAAAGGTTTCAAGTCTTCTCTTCTGTCACTCTTCGGAAACTTGCTCTTTTTGATTGGTCCTGGTAACAGTCTCATTATTATACATGTAATTTATTCTCGAGCATGATTAAATTTTTCAAATTGGCTCTGAATTTTGTGCAAAAGCTGAACGCATTATGAAGATTACTGACAACGAATACAATGTGATGAACGTGCATTTCTTTGTGTATGACTTAGAAATGAAGTGATATGGAGATAGGCGATGATACGAGATGTGTGTTGGTGAGGGGCATTGTTTCCTTGACGCGAGTCGCACGTGTCGGTGAGTTTTTGAGTGTTGAGTCATGTCAGCGATGACTGGTGAACGATGATGTCCGTGTATTTAGGGAACATCGCGCCGATTCATTGATAGCCATGTCGCTTCCCTTCGAGCCGTTACCACAAGGCCATCTGGTTGAGAAGCCGGCACCTCGATTCCCATTACCACCTGGAGACGATGAGTTACGAATTGTAGCCGGTAAAAACAGATTTGGTATGCTTCAAGTGATAGAGTGGGATCATATGGATCTATCGGTATTCTACCCGGCTGCACTCACGAGGTAGAAACGTCTTGGTCGTTTTGTATGTGCTCGATTTATTTACCGATCATTTTCAGCACCTGGACCGTACGTATGTTTCTCTATCCTCTGGCGGTACTGAGAAGTCGTTTACAGCTGCAGAAACAACATACGGTCTACAAAAGCACATGGAATGCGTTCGTTAGCATCTCGAAAACGGAAGGAATTCGTGGTTTATATAGGGTCAGTATTGCTCTTCAAAAGTTCATTTTTTCTTCAGTTCTTCCCTGCTGTGGACTGATTAGATGGGAAAATATTATGCACTCCTCTCCGGGTAACAGGGAGGGTGTGCTGCATCCTTCAATTGATTGTAGCTGCAGTTGCGCTTCCGGTGGAATCTTCTCTTTTGAGGAGAGGACAGTTGTATTCATGTTACTGTTTGCTTTGTTCGGCGCAAGGCAGTGATAGTTGCAAATGTCTCATAAAATAACCAACATTACGCCATCTTTGAGGGAGGTTCGCGGCCTCGCCCCTCCCCCACACTCCGTGACATGGAGTTATATAAGATACCAGTCGGATCGCCCGGCTGTCGCCGGGCGCTCCTCCTTCTGTGACATGGCCCGGCTTCGCCGGGCCATGCGGATTTGCCGCGTGCTAAGTTAAGGATCGTTGACCAACCACACTGTTCAAAGGAATCTTCTGCATCAGCCAAGAACTGAAAAGCAGCGCTTGTTCCGTCAAGGCGCAGAAGCAGCAGCAGCGCCCCCCCCCCGCATCACAGAAGGAGGAAAGCCGGCCTTAGCCAGCGATCCGACTGGTACGTTCATAACCTACACGGAAATAGTGCAGCCTGTTTGGACAGCCACTGAAGCAGCCTATAATTTATGCAATCTGTCTTCCTAAAGCGTCTTGCTTTGGAATGCACTACCGCATTCAGCAGTGGAACCCTTTAAATGGCCCTCACTGAAGTTGCTGATGGAAGATAATTGTGGTAAGAGTGATAAAGTCAGTTGCTGCTGTTCATAACATCTCTGTAAACAAACCACATGCATTTGGAATAGAGCTGGCTTAGCGGTCGTACACGATGTCGTTACTAATAAGCAGTGAGGAATGAGTTCTGTTGGAATCACTGAGATCGTTATACTTGAGTCATATCGATCGCATTGTTGTTGTGAGCGGTGAAGCGGATTTTCCCATGCTACCTTGTCAATTTTAGCTCCTATCACTTCCGTACCCGCCAATAACACTCCCGTCCCGTATCACTATCATATATCCCTGTATCGCCTCTCGGATCAGAGGTCCCACTGTTGCTGTAACCTGCGTTACGAATCTGATGACCCTCCCCTTCCGAGGCCGCTTACCGTATCTTATCAACTGTTATCACTTTCTGTCGCCCGCCAATAATGTTCCCGTCCCACACCCTATATCACCTCACGGATCTGAGTTCCCACTGTTGCTGTAACCTGCGCCACGAATTTGATGACTCCGAGGCCCCTTATCGGATCTTATCAACTGTTATCAGCTTCTGCCAGCCCCACCCTACGGCATATCAGTACTTGAAATCATGGTCCCGCCGTTGCTGCAACTTGCCACGAATTCGGTCACCCTCCCCTTTTAAGCCCCTTATCGAATCTTATCAAGTGTTATCACCTCCTGTCACCCAAAAAGTGTTCCCGTCCTGCCATGTATATCACTTCTTGAAATCACGGTCCCGCAGCTGCTGCAACTTGCGCTAGATGTTGGTCCCCCCCTTCTAAGGCCCCTTATCGAATCTTATCAAGTGTTATCACCTCCTGTCACCCATCAAAAGTGTTCCCGTCCTGCCATGTATATCACTCCTTGAAATCACGGTCCCGCAGCTGCTGCATTTTGCGCTAGATGTTGGTCACCCCCCCCCCCTTCTAAGGCCCCTTATCGAATCTTATCAAGTGTTATCACCTCCTGTCACGCACGGCTAAAGTGTTCGCCGGTCCGCTGCATGTAATCACCTTTGAAATCACGGTCCCGCAGCTGCTGCATTTTGCGCTAGATGTTGGTCACCCCCCCCCCTTCTAAGGCCCCTTATCGAATCTTATCAAGTGTTATCACCTCCTGTCACGCACCTAAAGTGTTCCCGTCCTGCCATGTATATCACTTCTTGAAATCACGGTCCTGTGCTGCTTGCATTTTGCGCTAGATGTTGGTCACCCCCCCTTCTAAGGCCCCTTATCGAATCTTATCAAGTGTTATCACCTCCTGTCACGCACCTAAAGTGTTCCCGTCCTGCCATGTATATCACTTCTTGAAATCACGGTCCCGCAGCTGCTGCAAATTGCGCTAGATGTTTGGTCCACCCCCTTTTTTCCCCCTTCTAAGGGCTTTATCGGATCTTATCAGTGTGTATCCACGGCCTCCTTTCAAGGAGCCGACTGGGAGGAAGCACCATATCTAAAGTGGTTCCCAGGTCCCTGCTCATGCTACGAGTCAACTTTGCTTGAGAAATCATCGCCTCGTATCGCTGCTGTCTTTGTCATTTTGTCTGCTACGACTTCTTCCTGGTCATCTGACCTTCTTTCCTTGCTGTTATGTCACTCTTATCGGAATCGTCTATCAGAGTGTCATTCAGCCGACCTCCTGTCACCCATCAAAAGTGTTCCCGTCCTGCCATGTATATCACTCCTTGAAATCACGGTCCCACACCTGCTGCAACTTGCGCTACGAATTCAGTCACCCTCCCCTTCTACGGCCCCTTATCGTATCTTATCAAGTGTTATCACCTCCTGACACCCACCAAAAGTGTTCCCGTCCTGCCATGTATATCACTTCTTGGAACTGTCATCCTATCTTTTCTGCGACGCTCGCTATGAATTTCGTGACACACACACACACACACACACACACACACACACACACACACACACACACACACACATACTTAGCGAATTATATATAGTAGGAATGTTTCTAGAGCTACTTAACGTCACGACCGCAAAAATTTGTTTATCATTATAGCATCCGAATACGTTCTTGCTAAAGTGATGTTGATTGCATATTTTGCATTGATTGCTGCGAACCACTCGGCATTGCGATAAATGCCGAACATCAAAGACTTTGCATCGCAATTTCAAAGCGCGTCGCAAAATCACCGAAGACGATCTTTGATCAATATTTTCGAATGTTGCCCACATGTTTCGCTCCACTTTCTGTCACAATCTTCCCTTTTATATTGGTTTAAGAGTCGACTTGTGCCGGTTCCGCCTCCGAGTACGATCTTGGGTGCTACCATAGTTTGGGGTGGAAGTGCTTATCAAGTCTCTGAGAGCTCGGCCTTAACTTTTCAGTACACATTATACAACATTTCTAACACATCAGTGCGATGCGAGGTAATATGTCCTACGTCCTACCCCCTAACGAGCAGTCAACGAAACGTGCTTGTAACCATTGCTACCGCTAACTGCGATAGCATTCGATTCCATGGCCTCAAACTTCTATTTACAGTTGGAATGGATAACTCAACCGCCCGGTAAGCGCGCGACGCGGGTTCGAGTTCCCTTCCGAGTCTGATCTTTGCCCACGACTCAGCATCCTTGTGATAACCAATTTACTGTCCCGTTCGCACAGGATCTGGGGGTGTCAGTGCAGCTGCGTTTGGCGCGGCACCAAAGGCCCGGGTTCCAAGGCTTGTTGAAGCGAGCAATCGACAAGTCTGTTTCATATCGTTCACATCCGTCGTTTCGCTCAATCGTTGTATTAGGTCATCCCATTCAAACGTGCCGCTACATATAGAGGAATGGCAGAAAAGCAAAGGGGATAGAGCAGCGGGCTACTATACCATTTGGAAGCTAGTACCTTAAGCTGTGTATCTGTGAAATTTGGCGAACCTAGCCCCAGAAGAAGTTCTCGAGAAATTGAAAAGAAGCCCGAGTGGTGAAAATCGGCGCCGGTTTTTCAAATCAGACGTCATAAAAGGAAAGTGCGCTGCTCAAATTTGACCTGCGCCGGACCATAGTTGTGTGTAAGGGTGTTCTCGAAATACACGGTGGAAGATTTGGTTCAGGAGCCCGTACAAGGAAGAAAGGAAAAAATTTGTTGTCGTGGATGGTCCCATAATATTCATCCTGCACAAGAAAAAAGGGTGGATGAAGTCAGGCACTGAATATCTGATCACAGAGCCTGGACCCTTGTCGAGCTTCCCCGCGAGTCTGACATCCCAGCTGCAACTGCTGCCCGAGTTATGTCCGATAAACTGAGGATGGTCAAGAGGGTGGCGCATGGGTACCTAATTTTCTTATAGAAGCACGAACGCAGTACCGATTCTATACCTCTAGCAGTAATGTTCTCAGCATGAGATGTCACTCACAACTGTGAAAACGCACCCAGGCCTTAGATGAAATATGGGTGGTCTCGGACCTCGAGCCGAAACTCACAATCGTCAATTTTGTATGAATGCAGATGAGAAGCCGCCCGAGTTCTACCATGAAGAGTTACGTGGGCGCAAGTGGATGATCATCATAGCAAAGGATTCCCACACTGTGGCTTTCAAGCGGCTCTATACAGAGAACAAATCCGTCACTGTCGGTGCATATTGCCTGTTCCTCGGCATTCAGATCGACAAATGGATGCTACCACACAACTACAAGAAGGCCACCGTTGCTCGTCATAGTACCAGACCCCGAGTAACTGTATTGTAGATCAGTGCTGGGACACAAACAATACTGAGACCTGAGTTCAATCGTCCCATTCGCCCGTCATAAAGCCATGCGATTACAACTGTTCTATTCAGTAGAGAGTACTCTTCGACGGCAGACGCTACAATGTTTTGTCATTTGCCGAAATTGGCAACAACAGCAATTTACCCACACTTATTGAAAAATCGAAGGTACCAGAGGTCCAAAGGCCCTCGGGGCACTGGGAGCGGGTCATTGGTGAAGGAGGGATTTACTCATCCTAAAGCTAAAATATCACTTTTCTATCTATTCTCCTCTTTGTTTATTCAAAAAAAACCAGCGGCACGTTTGAATGGGATGACCTAATAGTTTACCCGCTTCAAGGTGGAAACAGATTTATCGCTGTGTCAAACGATGCCCCACTGGCAAGCCCCGTCGTCCGCAGCGAACGAGGCTGCATCTAGCTCTGCCATCCAGTTCTGCTTTGGATATTCTGACTTTCATTTAAAAAGTAATTCTTACTGAGAATTACTAGTCTTGTGGGGTAGATGGAAGTCGGGATATCCAATGAGAACGTGATTTTAAAAGAAATCTGTCCTGTTCTTCATTGATGTAGGAAAAGCAGTTCTGACAAAGAGCTGTTTGAAGGCTCTACTAGAGTGAACAGTTTTCAGGGTTTCTGGGTGACCGTACCACAGATAGGCACGTCATTCATTTACACCACCGTCTACGAGAAGTTACGAGCTGTTCTACAACAGGATTTCGGTATGAAGTCTGTGGCCGGCATTTCTAGCATATCCGGTGGAGCAGCAAGTTTTGCATCTCAGGTTAGTTCATCGAATTGGTTGGTTCTCATTTTTAGTTAAATTTATAGAATAGAAGGATCTACCAAGAGAAGCTAGAAGCAGTTTGAAGGAGGTAGCTCCGATCTTACTGGTTGCCGCTACTTCTTGTGAGGCTCAAGTCGTCGTTGACGCGCTCAGAAATGACGTGTCATCGATGGGACATAACACGACGCGTCCTATGAAAGAATCTTTTCACGTCATTCCTTCGATTTTCTTTATGTCAAACTGCAGTTAGTTCTGCGAATGGGGTTTTCGCCCAAGCCTAGATAGATTCACTCTATGGGTATGTGGATTTCTTGGTGCGGAGAGCTAAAAGTCTCTTACCAACCATTAACATCCCCCCCCCTCCCAAGAGTCTAACAAATCTAACGTTCTCGGCTGCGGACCCATACAGAATTAGCGCGTTAGGAAATTTTTTTAAATCTCGTGGAACTTCGAAGGTTCATTGTAGAGAGTTCTCCTTATAGGTGATTTTTGTGCCCACCGATATCATATCCCAGTTCATGATGGTATACTACAACGCCGATAAGTTCATCTCAGGAAACGACAAGGCTGTTATCGAGTACTTACGTAATGAAAAGAACCCTCGTCTAACACTGGGATTACGTTGTCTAAGAGCAATATATAAAGTTGATGGGCTGAAAGGATTCTATCGGTACGGTTCTTTCAAGGTTCTTACGTCTAGTGATCGTTGATCGTGTGCTTTTAGTGGATTTTGGGCGTCAAGTCTCGTCTATGTGCCATCATGTCTCGTTTTCTGGCCTGTATATTACTGGTGTCAGGACTTCTTCAATTTTGTAAGACGATTACTCATTACTGAATTTTTCCTTTTTTTGCTTGTTCCGCACCTTTCCTTTTCTATAAGTCCTGT